GCAGTGTGTTCTCAGTTTATGAATAAAAAGTTTCATGAATATTTATTTATTGCAAAGTATGATCTAGGTAGTGTTTGTATTGGGGAAAAAACTGTAGAATCCTTGAAGAGTTTGTGAAAGTAAGAGGTCACTCAGAATATCTTTGTACCAGTAGTTAAATAAGAAAATATACATACAAATATCCATAATAATCCATAATAATTTTAGAATGCAATTATTGACAAGGAGTGGTATAATGTAGATAGGGTTTGGAGAATGAATGAAATCATGTTAAATTAAACTAACTACGATTTTTTTTTTTTAGAGGCATGCTTATTTATTTATTTATTTATTTTATTTGTTTGTTTGTTTTGTTTATACATGCACTGGGTACAGTCAGAAGCGCGGGAGGGTGAGAGAATTCACCAGAGCCAGAGGGGGGAGCAGAGCAGGCAGAAGGACCAAAGTACACTGCTGAGGGGAGCAGCGGGCGGCAGGAGAGGTCTGCGCGCCATGTGGGACCCTCCTCCGGTGCCCGGGGAGCAGCCAGGGATCGAACCGGTGCTGCAGAGGCTGTGGGCAGCTTCGTAACCCAGCGCTCAACCGCTACGCCACCGGGGAGGCCCTAAACTAACTACGATTTTATGAAACTAACATTTTGCTTGTCTGATTGGTGTTGGATGTTTTTGTATGGGTTTATCTGGTAGAAAAGGTAGTTGAAATTGGAATATGGCATTTACAGTGAGAGAGAGCAAACATACTGCAGCTTTGAGAATTTTATGGACATCATTCAAGTTACGGGGTAAGGGAAGTTCAACTAGAACTCAGTGATAGATTAGTCATATAAGGATGTTGTATTTAATCCAGAATAAAAAGAGAGCTCTTGTTGAAATGAAAGTTAATGTAAATGGAGTGAATAGTATCAATGAGTGATATAGAGAAAACTCAAGATAGTCAGGATATAGGTTATTACAATACTCTAGCTAATTTGTACCATAATCTGACATCAGGTATTTTAGTAGGAATAGAAAGAGAGTAATAGTGATAGGAGATACTTGGGATATTTCAAAGTTTACTGGGAAGAATTAGAAGGATATTTTACATTTCAGAGAAATATAAAGTCCATGATGAGAATACAGAAAAAAGGGTAAGTTTAAATTTGTATAAATTTGATGAACTATCAGGAGAAGATAGTATCCACCTTGTACCTTTAATACTTTGCTGGTTGAATGAATGAATGGACAAATGGGTGTTTGGTCAACACAAATTTACAAACTATGCACCTAAAAATGTTTGTGTAGTTCTAGATACCTCATTTATGGATATCTACTAATCATCTTGAAAATTACCACAATAAAGAGACCTGGGGTTTGAGAGGCAAAAGGTCTGGTGTAGTATATGAAAGGTATGATGATATTTAGCCCAGAAAAGAAAAGTCTTGGGGAATAGGTATATCTCTCTTTAATATTAGAATGTACATAATGTGAACACCATATATAAGATATTTTAAGATGGCACAGAGGCATTATCTAAATACAAAGTCCAAATTAAAATTCCTCCAGTTGTCCCTATAATATTCTTTATAGATGTCTCTTTATTTTTTTTTTTCTTTTTGGCTTTTTTCTCCAGCAAATCACCAGAAGATAGGAGAGAGACAAGAAAGTATTATTCTGCAGTTTCCCAGGGACTCAGGACCTGGTGACACCTTAATTTTGGACTTCTAGCCTCCAGAACTCTGGGACATTATATTTATGTTTCTGTGAAATACCAATGTAGGGTACTCAGGAAAACAACATAGACATGTTGTAAAGATATATAGCTATAGATACATGGTTTATTCCTTAGGTTCCTTCCAGTGAAAATCAAGTTCTAATGAGCAGAAGTGAAAGAGAAGTGGATATCAACTCATATGCACAGGAACTTGCTCGTAGTTAAAGCTACTACAAAAGGAATTTAAGAACGTTAATAGTAATCTCTTACTATTTTTTAAAGATTTATTTATTCATGCATACAAGAACAGGGGTACAGGCCAAATGTGTGGGTGGGAGGATTCATCAGAGACAGAGTGGGGAACAGAACAGGCAGACCGACTGAAATACACTGCTGAGGGGAGCAGCGAGCAAGACAGGAGAGGTCTACTGCACCATGTGGGTATCTTGCCAGCTGGCTGGGATCGAACCTGCACTGCAGAGGCTGTGGACAGCTTCATTAAGAATATTCAAACTGGATGGATTTGGGATGATGTAGAGGTGATTTATGCATCAGATTAGTGAGTTAAGAATAAGTGATCTACAACTCCACAATCCTATGAACCTATATTAAAGCCCTGTGATAGAGGCCGTCAACTTTCTTCTCATCTTTATTTCAATCAGGGAGTAATAGACTGGCATAGCATGATATGGTAAAGAAGATTAAATCTAAACTCTGATAATTACTACCTAATTATCCTTAGGCAGGATCCTTAATCTCTATATCCACCTATTAAACAAGGATAGTAATAGTAATTACTTTACAGTTATTAGGATTAAATTAATAATTTAAATTTCTTAGAACAGTACGTGACTCATATTATGTAGTATAGAAATGCTGGTTGAAATATACTTGCTTCTTATTTTTATTTTTTTTTAAACTTTTTTTTTAAGATGTATTTATTTATACAAGCACTAGGTACAGTCAGAAGCTCGGAAGGGTGAGAGAATTCACCAGAGCCAGAGCAGGGAGCAGAACAGGCAGACTGACGAAGTACACTGCTGAGGGGAACAGTGGGCGCGGCAGGAGAGGTCTGTTGCGCCATATGGGACCCTCTCCTGAGGCCGGGGATTGAACTGGCGCTGCAGAGGCTGTGGGCAGTTTCACAGCCCAGTGCTCAACCGCTGCGCCACCGGGGAGGCCCACTTCTTATTTTTAGACATAATACATCAACACTGTCTTCCCACACTGCCATTCCCCACCTCCAAACTATGGAGAATTGAGTCAAAGTAAAGTGTGTTTAATTTTTAACTAGGTTTTCTTTTCTAAATCCAAAGTTGGGCCATTTGCTGGCCAAGCATCTGCAGTGTGATACTTTTACCAATTTCCTCATAACAAGCTGTGGTGATATGTTAGTAAACTGCCAAGATGGGTGGTGTGTGTGTGTGTATGTGTGTGTGTGTGTCTGTTTTATGTGTTTTTGAGAAATAAATCATTCGAGAGTATCAACTTTAAATAATAAAGAATACAGTTTACCCTAGTAAAACTGAGATTTAGGGGAGGGTGCTACTTTGCTGGAGTTAGAGAATATGTGAAATTTTCAAAATTACACAGAAAATTCAGGTATTTTATTATATTAGCATCTGTTGGTGACTAAAAGGTAATTTCAGCTTTAGAAGCTAGTAAAAGCATTTACCAGCATACTTTTAATAAAAAGCACATAATTGTCAAAAAAAATTCATTCAGTGACTTAAACTTAACAAAATGTGCTTTATTTCTTCACTATCTAAGGTTACTAATCGCTCCATCATTTGGGTGCATGGGTGGCAGCTCTGAGAAGTTAATGATACCCCAAGCAAATTCACAGTTCCTTTCAGTGGAGCAAACCTTCAATTGATGTGGGTAGCAGTACTTATACACCTATGCAATTCTGAAGCCAGAGACTGTGTAACCTTTGGATACACCAGACAGAGGGAGGACAGAGAATCAAGGAGGATCTTCATGTTCTTTCTGTAAAGAGCAACCAAGTGTGATAGCACAGCCTTTAAACACAGGGATACACTGAAAGATAATGAGGAAGGTCGCCTGTGAAAGTATTGTAGAGTAATCTTGATTTGAGGTGATGTTTAGAGGGCCATTAAGAGTTATAGGAAGAGAGAATGAGTTACTATAATATATGTACTTTATTTATAACTCCTTCATTTTCACCAAAGTCGACAGGCATTGGTGGTGAAAAGACCAGCTCTTTACTCAGTGTCAATCTGGGTTGTAACTACTTCTGTGCTTTATGAGGCATTTGTCCTTATCCAAGTTCCATAAATTCCCTGTGTTTCAATTACCTCTTATATAAAACATCCTTAATGATGCCTTCCCTTCAGACTATCACAGAGATTAAACAACCTTAAGTATATGAACCAACTCGCTCAGGATTTAGCCATAGTAGGGACCAAATGAATAATTGTTGGGTTTTGTTTTCTAAGCCTCTTCTCAATTAAACGTTTCAAATGCAGAGTTTGGGAGGAGGTAAATGTAAACATCTTGGACAAGGCAACCAGCACACATTTATCAAAAGTAGCTAACTCTTAATTCATCTCAATTCAGTAAATACTTCTTACTTGCTTCTTATATCACTAGATATATTTTTCCATGTTGAGCATTGAGGGAATACAAAGGTGAATCAAAGATTGTTCTTTAACTTCTAGAAATAACAATTCAAATCCAAGATGAAATAAATACAACCTTAAGCTCTATTAAGAAATGTTTCACAAGGCAAATGAACTGATTTTAACATGTATTCTGCCTTTCTACAGAATGACTAATTCAGTGAAAACACAGCATGGGCCTTAAGTTATTTTTCTTTCTTAGTATTGATTTGTGGATTTTTACAGTATTATTAATGCGCTTGACAGTGTTTCTTCTTTGGTACCTATTTTGTTTATTCAGTTACTATCTTAGCATGTTATATAACAAAGTATCACAGACTGGGTGGCTTGTAAACAACAGAAATTTATTTTTCATAGCTTTGGAACCTTAGAAGTCCAAGGTCAAGGTGCTGGCAGATTTGATGCTTTGTGTGGGCCCAATTCCTGGTCATAGGCGGCAATCTTTTTGCAGTGTTCTTACTTGGTAGGAAGGACAAGTGATTTGTTTGCGGTCACTTTCAGAAGTGCACTAATCACATTCATGTGGTTACCCCCTCATGACCTAATAATATCCCAAAGGTCGACTCACTAGTAACATAATTTGAGTGTCAGCATTTCAACATATGAATTTTGAGGAAACACAAACATTCAGTCAATATCAGTAACTTTCCCGTTTTCTTTCCAAATTAGTTTGTGTGGCAGTGTGGAAGAACCACCATATGAGGACAGTGACCAACTACTTCATAGTCAACCTTTCTCTGGCTGATGTGCTTGTAACCATCACCTGCCTTCCAGCCACGTTAGTTGTGGACATCACTGAGACATGGTTCTTTGGACAGTCCCTCTGTAAAGTGATTCCTTATCTACAGGTAATTGTTTTTCATAATTTTTTTTGGGTACAAACATAGAAGCTACTGAAAAAGTATTTTTAATTACTCACATGGCCATATTAACTGTCTAAGGAAGAAACATTCTTGCCTAAGAAATTTTCAAACTGAAGGAAAATAATACTTGAGACTTTCTAGGTAAACAAATTCTGGATAAAAATAAAACAATAGAATCCTCTACAAACTTTTTACTTATTTGATTGCTAATTTTATAATTATAAAATAAAAATCTGAACAATTACTGTTTCCCCTATCCAAATAACCAAAAGCTATCTATTTTTATAAGATGGATCATTTCATATTGAAAAATTAAGAACTGTATGATCGAAGCAGCAGAGTGAACAGATTTTAGTATAGGTTCTGAATTAAACTACCCCAGATTTTGAATCTTTATTCTGCCTTCACTGATTGTATGCTGTCTAGTTGAGCACATAAGCTCTTGTGGATTCAGTTATTTACAAAGGATAATATTTTTAGTTAAAACTATCCTTTCTACTTCTTATGTTAGTGTACTTGGATAATTTATATAAATCACTTGGCATAGTGGAAGGTGATAATTTTATAAACACATATTTTCAATAACTGTCAGTTATTATCTTTAGAAGATGTCTTATTAGTAGTAGTGAAAAGATTTCTATAATGGATTGTCCTACAAGAAGTTAAGAACAAGTACTTTCAGAAAGTAATTTCCTTATTGATATTATGATAGTTCTAAAATCTTTGAAATAAATTCCTAGGAAATTAATGGGTACAACTACAGTTTTCAAAGAGACAAATTCCATTAGCAATTGGATAGTGAATGAAATGGTGATCCCCTTCTACTTTTCCTCCCATAACTATCCCCTAACCACCACTCATTATTTCATCCAACCTTCCAGATGGTGATCATAATATCTGGAAGAAATAAAAATGTGTCACCAATAATCAAAAGTTGGGGTAGGTAGAACAACTGGACAATTAAATTAATTAATTTCAACACTGACATTATACCCTTCACAAAAATGAAAAATGAGTCACAATCCTAAAAATGTAGAACTATAAAACACTTGGAAGATAACATAGAAGAAAACCTACAAGATCTTAGGTATGTTTATGGTCTTTTAGTACCATACTAAAGGTGTGATACTTTTTAAATATTTCATTGATGAGCTGACTTCATTAAAATTTAAAACTGCTCTGTGAAAGATGTCAGAGAATAAGAAAACATCATAGACTGAGAGAAATATTTGTAAAAGCCACATATAATAATGGGCTGTTTTCCAGTATACTGTAAGAACTCATAAAAATTAAAATAAGGGAAAATATACATTTAAAATGGGTAAAAGACCTTAACAGACACCGCACGAGTATTGATATATAGGTGGCAAATAAGCATATGAAAAGATGTTCCGTATAATGTGTCATCAGAGAAATGCAAAGGAAAACAATGATATAATGCTAGACACCCTGTAGAATGCTCGTATTTTGGACCACAAATACCAACTGCTGGCTAGAATAGGTAGCAACAGTGACAGGAACTCTTACTTATTGATGGAAGGACTGCAAACTGGTATAGTGACTTTGGACAAGAGTTTGGATGTTGCTTACAAAACTAAACATAGTCCTACCATGCGATCCAGCAATCACACTCATTTATCAAAGGGAGTTGAAACTTAATGACCACTCAAAAATTTTTATGAATGTTTATTTATAGCAGCCTTATATATAAGCAACTGTGGTACATCCAGGCAATGAAATTGTATTCACTCCATGAGTTATCAAGCAATAAAAAGAGGTGGAGGAAACTTCAGTGCATATTACTTAGTAAAAGGAACAATCAAGATGAAAGGTATATGCCATATGGTCCCAATAAATGACATTATGGAAAAGGCAAAACTTTGTAGATTTTAAGAAGGTCAGTGCTTGCCAGTGGTTGGAAGTATTGAACAGATTATGGAGGGTTTTTAAGGTAGTATAAGATGAAATGATGGCAGCTACATGTCGTCATACATTTCATAGAATGTACACCACCAAAAGTAAACCAATATGTAAACTATGGATATTGAGTCATTATGATGTGTCCATGTAAGCTAATCAATTGTACCAACAGTACCACTTGACGGGGGATGTTGTCAATGTAGAAGTCTATGCAAGTGCAGGGGCAGAAGGATATAGGAAAATTCTTTGTAACTTCACCTTGATTTTGCTGTAATCTTAACATACTCAAAAAAAAAAAAAACATAAAGTCTTAATAAAAACAAAAATTGGCAGAGGCACAAATAGCCCATTACTAGAAATTATGTTGATTAGTCTTTTGGACCTGAAATGTTACACTTTTGGACCTGAAATGTTACAAAGAGATCTTCAGCTTGATATTTCTCCAATGGTCTGTTACAAAGAGAAGTGATAAATTTTAAGGTCACATATCAGTGATGTAATAGTAAGTGGAAACTACTGTAGAAGTTAAAAGCTTCACAGCAAACATTAAATTTAACTATAAAGTTAACTTGTTCTTCAGCTGAAAGTCGTGAATGGGTTATAAAAATAAACTAACAATTCTTTAGAGAGAAATCGTATATGGAGCAACAGACAAAATATCCACATAGAAAAAAAAAATCAATGAGAAATCGTTCTTATGGTATTTGCATGGAGACACTGGGGAAATTATAAATAGTACAGAAATCTAATATTTTGCCATCTCTCTGGTACATCCTGCAAACTCTCTATTTCTCTTGGTTCATTCCAACAACTATCCAGAGGAAAATTCAGGGGTTCCTCTTCAGTTATTAGACCGCTTCAGTTGCCCAGAATATTTTATTAGCCAAAAGAGACTATTTCATAGTCTCTCTACAAACCAGAAGATTCCCTGGTGGAGAGTGGGTAACGAGGGGTGGGTATTTTATTCCCTGATAGGTGCAGTACTGGTGATACCTTCTGTAGACTGGTATTCTAGTTTCTCCCATGTGCACTTGAGAATAAACTGGAAGAGTGTGCAACCAGTGAGTGAAGTTCATGGCATGGGTATCTTTTAAAGTTATCAACAGTATATTTTTACACAGTAAATGTGAAACAAATCCTATAGTTGAAGGAACACCTTCATCTCATGAGAGATATTGTCTGCTTCTCCATAAATGGTATCCAATCTAGTTAACTCAATTGATCTTTTTCCATATACCAAGGAAAAAACTACTGAGTAACCTCAAGATTTGAGTCAGATGAATAAGAATAAATCCACTTATTAGTCAGTCAGCATTGCTTCTTGATGGATATTTATAAATGTACAAAAATATTGGTGCACTGGTAAAATGAGTATTTGCACATTATCTCAATATTTGTTGTCCATTTTTCATAGAATTTTCCCAAATGGAGGAACAGTGCCAAAGGGCAATAAGCCAATCATTTAAATTTGAGTAATTTTTCTCCTAGTTTTGATTATCTGAAACTGCAGGCTTTTGTCCCTGATATGATACTTATGTCTTGCTGAATATTTAAAAACATATTACAAAATGTCCAGCCAAACTTCAAATTTATTTGGTTACATTTAATATCCTTTGGACATTTATTAATTATCTATGATTTATATGTTTTCTTCTAAATATGATAAAACACAACCTTTAGATTTATGAGTGATATGCTATGATACTTCAGCAAATGCCCAAAAATCTTAAAAATCTCACAAATGTTATAAAGCTTAGCTGTATCATTACAATGGTCCTTTTGTGTCTTTATAATTCTATGAAACCAAGACCATTAACATTTAATGGACTTTTTGCTGAATAATTATCATGAATTCTTGGAAAAGATCATTTCCCCTCTAATACTTAGAGGAGCAGTTAACTACTTTTTCAGAGTTACTTTAAAAAAAAAAAAAACTGTAGAAGAAAATCTGTAGAGGAAATGCCAGGAAAAGAACAATAACACCCAACTGAGGTATGAATGATGAATGCTGGATGCTGAGCTCCCTTACTCTCTGAGTCACACTTTCCCACCTTCCAGTCTATTAGTCCCTGTCATCTAAATTTCCTCCTTGGCAAAATTTATATTTGTCATGGATCTCTTAGTTCCATGGCTACATGCTAACATAAAATAGACTCCTTTGTTACCAACCAGTGTCTCCAACATTACCCTGACCACAGGATGCCTGTATTATAAGCTAAAGTATAAACCCAGGAGTATACTCCTAGAATTGAAAAGCAGCAACAAAACTCTCATTTGTAATCACTTATGATAAAAGACAATTGTTTATTTCCACAAGAAAATGCTAATTCTACATTACTGCATATTTCATACCAGAAAATATAGTAGCTACACAGTGAATATTAAATCACTGGGTGCTGAGGGTATATTCAATGTATTCTACTGATAGGTTAACCATGCCCACATGTTCTCTCCTATCAGTCCATACAGAAAAGTCAATACACCTCAGCCCACAGTTGGCATTGGATGTCAGTCTCTCCAATGAACTACTCTGAATTGATTATGACTAATAGTTGAGTGGGATACTAGAACTCACTCCATTTTGCACCATGCTACTTCTATCTCATTCATCTACACTGATCAGAATTCATATGCAATACATCACTAAGTCTTAGTGAACTTAAAGTTCTAATTGTTATACTGGGCAAATATGACCCTGATCAGCAATTATGAAAGGTCAGCTGTGCAGATCTAGACTGCCACATTTTTACTGCCAGGTTAACAATATTGAGGGCTTGATATATTTTCCAGAAATGAATGGAAGTTGAAAGTAGAAGGGAATTTGTTTGAGGAGACATGAATGTACTCTAAGAAAATGCCAATGAATTCCCAGGAATCATTGACCAACCTATGTGTACTCTGGTAGAGTTTAAAATAACACTTAAAAATGGGCCTCCCTGGGGCACAAGGGGATAAGTCACAGCACTGTGAAGCTATTCCCAGCCACTGCAGCATGAGTTTGATACTGGGTCAGGGAGCTACCTACATGGTACAGACCTCTCCTGTCTTGCCCACTGCTCCCCTCAGCAGTGTATTTCAGTCAATCTGCCTGTTCTCTTCCCCAATCTGTCTCTGGTGAATCCTTTCACTCCCCGTACCTCTGGCCTGTACCCCAGTTCTTATATGCGTGAATAAATAAAATTAAAAAAAAAACACTTAAAATGAAATTAGCCTCCAAAAATTCACTTTAGGGCTTATAATTTGTATGATTATTTTCCACTGAAAAGCAGTGTGTTCCAATTAAAAGCTAAAACTCGAACCTTGGGAATGAAAGGAGAAAATTAATAGTATAATCATTTTCACTATCATAATCATAATAAGTAACTATAAACACAAAGTAATTGTGTGTCAGTACTGGACTAAGGATTCTACATCTCACTGACTCTCCCTAAAATTCTGTTGTTTGTGCTATTATCCATATTTTACAGATGAGGAAATGTAAGCTTAGGAAGGTTAGGCAACTTACCTAAGATCACACATTTAGCAAGTGAGATGGGGTTCATGCCTAGGTTACCTGGTTGTGGAATTGATTTCAAGTACATCCTATGCTTTTTCCAGAGAGAATCAAAAGAAATAGAGTTAGCACTCATGTTGTCCTGTCAATTTCATTTCTTTACAGAAAAAACAAACACACTTTAAGCCTAGAGTTGTGTGTGTGTGTGTGTGTGTTTGTGTGTGTGTATAAGGTCTGGGGCCTGTGGGGAAGAGAGTGCAAAAAGACAGCATATCCTTACTCAGACCAGAACACTTTCTCCTGCGCTGGGCTGACTCAGATCCCTTTCACTCCCTTGCATGTCCAATGCTTCAACAAGGAAGGTTCTGATATAAGAGGTATACATACCTGCCCTTCAACATCCCCGTGTTGTGAGATCAGTACAACTAGGACAGGAAAAGAAGAAGGAAAGATGACTGGATCACATTTGTTACCTTAGATTAAGACTTACAACTCTTCATTAATTAAAAAATGTATTTACTAAACACCAAACATTCGGAGAGGTCCTAGGGACAGAGTTGTGAGAAAAAAAAGTAACATTTCCTCCTGGCATAGAGCTTTGTTCCAATAGAGATCATAGATGACAAGTAACAAATGCAGTGCAATTATTTGTATTATGTGATGAGTGCTTAGAGTAAAATAAAAATAAATCAATAATAATAATAATAATATTGATAAACCACAAAAGAAAATGAGGCTTCTTTTTAAAGGGTAATTTTTAGAGTGACATCAACTGCATGGCTCACCCTGAGCAGATGAACACATTAGCTGTAAGCACATAAACTGATCATGTGCGTGTAAACATGTTTAATTTGTTCCTGTACGATGTCCTTAAATTTGCAAGTTAAAAAACATTTGTGGTATTGCTAATTATATAGAAATATGGACTAGGTGAACCTATTTGATTGTTAGAGGCAAATTGCAAACTGTGGTTAGGATATCCACATAGAGAAGTCTCTTTTAGCTGTCCCGTGTTTTTCTGGGGGGTACTGCATGTTGGAAATGAACCAAGTAACCTTTGTTATTTGAAAATATATGAACCAATCTACAAGTAACCTTTGTTATTTGAAAATATAAAATGAGATACCAGTAATTCGAAAGTACTAATTAAATGCAATTTCAGCCAAATTCCTATGTGATAGTTTAAGAATACATGTTATTTACTTTTTATTAGTAAAGAGTTTGCTAGTTTAGACTAAACATGTGTGCTGTATTTTTTTTCCACTTGAAAAATATGATTTCCCTTATTAGTTAAAAAGTTTCAAGACAAGATAATGACAGTAATTATTCAAAGAATGCCATATTATTAATTAAAATATTTGGCCTAAAAATGGTTGCTTTGTTTTCATAGAAAACCTGTATATTTATTCCTAATATATTTTTAATATTTTGGGTAGAGATTTTTTGTTAATAGAGAGCTTTTGCATGAAATATTTTTTGGCAACTTTGTGTGTGGTTATGGGTGTGACTACTTTTCTGATGTGGTAAAATATTAAGAGTCTTCCATGTAACACTTGGAGCTTCTCTTGGTGCTATGTTCTTTTTCTTTCTAGACTGTGTCAGTGTCCGTGTCTGTCCTCACGCTAAGCTGTATCGCCTTGGATCGATGGTATGCAATCTGTCACCCTTTGATGTTTAAGAGCACGGCCAAACGAGCAAGGAACAGCATTATCATCATCTGGATTGTCTCTTGCATTATAATGATCCCACAGGCCATCGTCATGGAGTGTAGCACTATGCTCCCCGGCTTAGCCAATAAAACCACTCTCTTTACAGTGTGTGACGAGCGCTGGGGTGGTAAGTACATTATGGCCCACACACTGACATTTATATTACAGCTGCAAACTGAATATTTGATTTGTATGGCCATTGTAAATCTGGTCTTGTATATTTTATTGGCATTTGTTAATGCATTTTTGCGAAAGCATGAAAAGTTGAAACCCAAAACAATTTTAGAAAACAAACTCCACCCTTATGTGGGCAGGATAACAACACTCTTCTTCCACCCTTTACCAGTGCTATGCACTATTGTCTAGTCTTCGGAGAGGAAATGAAAGGGAGAATTTATTCCACAACTCGGGTTTGGTTATGTTAGTTTTTCTTAAAATGTCTAAAATAAAAAGGACTCAATTTAACAAACCCAAATGCATATTGTGGAATGACTAACACTTTGTAAGATGGTACAGCATATATTGTCTCAAAAGATCAAGTTTCCTAATGAGCTTCAAATACAACTCTGTATTTCATTTTAAAACCATGTCCTGCATAGGGACACGCAATTTGAATGCATGGAGCTATGTTGTTCTCTGTGGTAAATAATCTAAATTTGCTTTCTGTATCCGTAACATGAAAATAATAAATTTTATCACTGGCATAATTATTATCTGATTAAAAATGTATTACTTATGAAACTTTTTTAGCTTCCCTTCTGATAAATTTAGTGTTAAATTTATACAAGCAGAAATTTGGAGCCTTATGCTCCTTTGCTTCAAAACTCTCAGCAAGCCTTTGTGATTTGTCTGTAACAGTGGAAGCACTTCTATCAATTCCTACTGGTGGCACAAATCTGGAAACAGCAGAGAAAGACAGGAAATAAAACACATCATTCACTAGCTACAAAATTATCAAGTGAAACTTGAGGAAAACAATCTTTCTTCTGGATAAGTATATAAAATTGCTCATATTTAGGGAATAAACTTTAACAAAGCATTTGTTTATTAGCAAGTGTACATTTGTGCTTATTATAAAGATGTATCAAAAAAAGCACCTGAATATTACATATGGATCTGATACTTTAAGAATATAAATCTTTGAAGTTACCTTTATTTCTGCCTTGGTACATTTTTTAGAAGACTGAAAAGAGGAAAAGGTGGTAAGAAAAATTAAGAATATGTTATCACAGTGAAATATAAAATTTCAAAGACACTGGGATTATTTCATATATGATCCAAAGATCTATATAAAACTAAATTTTCACACTTCTCTTAATTCATTATATCAGATATTAAATACATTTCTAAAATTGATATTTACCTTTCCTTTCTAACTTTGCAACTCAACTTCAGTTTTCCCCCAATCTCCCCATTAAAAGTACAGACAGAGATAAAATGAATGAAAAGTTCCAAATGGTAGGAATATTTCTTAAGCATCTTAAGTCCCATATATTTAATGTTCAAGCAGCATCTTGAGTACTGAGGATAAGCCAGGAATTGTGCCAATCTGGAGAGAAATAGACTCTGCCTTAAGGAACATATTCTATCTAGTGAAGATGAAAGGCAAAAGAATGTTTATAGCATGATTCGTATTTTAATTTACTTGTGTACAAAATACTAGGAACACAAATGAAAGGCAAACTCTGTCCTGGTCATTTGAGTAAAAGTTTACATTTCAACAAAGCATTAGAAATGAACAGGAATTTTCCAGACAGGGAAGAGGAAAATTGGCACCTTAGCAGCAAGAAAACCCACACAATGGGCACCATTCCTGAAGAAAAAAGGAAGAGGGTTCAAGCTTACAGTTTTTGGAATGAAGGAGTATGTAGTCTAATATCTTGTTTGGAAAGAAGGTGGGTGAGAGACAGATTGTGACATGTCTCTTATGAAATTCCTATACAGTGAATTCTTTTGGAAAGCAGCCTAAGGATCTCATGGTAAGAATACTTTAGTTAATTCATGATGAAATTGAGCCATAATTTAACTTATTTGCTGAAGATTATGAAGCAAGTAAGTACATTAAAATTTAAGATACCATTTCAAAAGTTGGGATCCTTTAAGATTATGGAGATGATAATTAGATAACATATCCATCTATTATTTAATGTGTGTCAGTAGTGTTTTCTGTGAAGTATTTTGGAGTCAGTTTTATTTTTATGCTGCCCTACATAATCAAGAAGTGGTAACCCCCGTGTTGCAGAACTACAAATCTCATCAGTTAGTACAATTAAGTAAATAGCCATATCATTTTCTAATTATCTTTGAGCAATAAATATAAATATATTAAATTTATTTCAGTCTAGTCATTATCCAGCTCTTGCATGGAAATATTCTTTTAAAAATGCAATTATTTTAGGATACCTAAAAATCTAAACTCAGCCTTCAAAAGTCATTTGAAAGCATTTTTATATTTTTCCATCATTACTTAATTATAAAGGCTAAAAATAAATGATGCTGAATTGAGTTGATTATCCACAAAATCGAACAATAAAATTATTGAAGTAGCTTTACAAATATTAAATTAAATTACAAATCAGTTTAATATTTTCAAAAATATGAAATAATTCAAGGTGGGCTTTTTATTCACTAGATTCTTAGTTTAGTATAGTGATTTTTACATAACATGAGCTTTGTTATGCAAGCATTTTTTAAGTCTATATTCAACTTTCAACATTAAAACTTGAACTTATGTGACAGTCAGAACCTAAAGACACCACAAGATATTATATATATATGTATTTTTAAAGATTGTATTTATTTATTTTTGCATAGAAGAAATGGCATCTAGGCCAGAGGTGCAGGGAGTGAAAGGATTCACCAGAGACAGAGTGGGGAGCAGAACAGACAGATTTTACTGAAATACACTGCTGAGGGGAGCAACAGGAGAGATAGGAGGGGTCTGCTGTGCCATATGTGGATTAGCTCTCTGGCCAGGGATTGAACTCAGGCCACAGAGATGTTAATGCTGAGACTTAACCCCCAGGCCACCAGGCAGGCCCAAGAAATTATATTTTAAAGTGCCAGCCCCCTAAAATTTATCTTTAATGGCCGAATAACTGTTAGTCTGATTTTTTAAAATTTGTTGTGAAATATCTTCTGTGGAGATTAATTCATGAACTGTGTTTCTTATCTTTATCATAAGTTAAATTAATAACATAATTATGAAAGAATTATAAAAGTAGAGAGTGATATCATAATTACCCTGTAACCAATATAACAGTGGGAAAGTGGTAAACAATGTGGTCACTTTATCCATATCTATCAAGGCCTTTTGAGAAAACCTTGCAAATGCTGTCTAATTTGTGGTGCAAAATGACTCCGTCTTACTAAAAATATTATCATATGGATAAAACACTTCTATAATGCATTACATTCATCACTTCTTAAATGATGCCTAAACACACACACATACACATGTCATAACTTCTGGCAGATATACTTGACACAAATGAAATGTGCTAACAATTACATTAATGATCTTTAAATTATGTCTTTATACATTTTCTTTGTTTGCTTCAGTTACATCAGTTCACACTTCTAAAATTTTTTAATTATTCCAGAAATACATCCATACTTTCTTAAATGCTTGATTTATAAATACATAGTTTCTCACACAGATCCTAATAGAAGGAAATCTTTTTGCACTCACAGGTATAATTGTCTCACTTATCCAATGTTTAATGAGCATGTAATGTTTATCAAACATTATTCTGCATGCTGCAAGTTTATAATCTCCTCTTGGGTCTTATTGACAACTTGTTCTTGAATTCATAACCCCTTCTTGTATCTTATTTACAAATTATTCTTTTATGGTCTGAAAAAATAAAATGGAGCCTTTTTGACATCTGTTCTAATAAGAGATTTTTAGAGTATTTAAATATCTGTCTATCTTTTAGTGGAAACATTTATTTAAAATGTTTGTTAGGGGAGTTTCCCTGGTGGAGCAAGGGGTTAAGTCTCAGCACTATGAAGCTATTGGCAGCCACTGCAGGATGAGTTCGATCCCCAGCCAGGGAGCTAATCCATATGGAGCAGCAGACCTCTCCTATCTCACCCACTGTCCCCTTCAGCTTTGTACTTCAGACAATCTGCCTGTTCTGCTCTCCACTCTATCTCTTGCAAATCCTCTCACACCACCGTGCACCTCTGGCCTGCACTCCAGCTCTTGTATTCATAAATAAAATAAATCTTTAAAAAATAATGTTTGTTAGAAAGAAGATAACAAAACATACTGAAGATTCTGGTACATGGTAATACATCCATAAATTTTGAAAAGACATCTCCAAATAGAATATTTGACAAATTGCATTTAAATTACATGTCAATTGAATTCTTGATAGGTATACCATGGAGAAAATATTTGTAGTTTTTCAATAATTAGATTAACATAATGGAACTCAACCCTTCTGAGAAAAAATTTGTTTTGTCTAATAGATAACATTTTTTCATCAGACTAAAATCCACCTTTGTTCTACGCTTTTTGATTTGATAAATATGCAATAACTTATTCAAATTTTGCCTGTTCATTATCTGACACATATTTTAGTGCTTATCAATCTTTAAAATGTTCTTTTCTGATTTAGGTAATGCTTAAATGGAACACATTCCAAGTAGCTATATTCTAGGTTATATATAAATCTCTTAAAATATTTAAGACCTTTAATGACTTCTAGGTTTTCTACAAGCATAAAATATATATATATATAATTATCAATTATAAATATATATATATAATTATCAACTGTAATCTCTTTATTACAATAATCTATCCTAGCCTGCAAGTATAATTTTGCTTGGTCAGCTTTTCTCTGTGTGGATGTTGGTTATCATAAATATGCATTCACCAGGCAATTACATAGTTTTCTAACTGATCACACAGTTAGATTTCTTTCCCCTGTATTTAAAATTCCAAACTGTTATCACAGTGAAGATATCAATAGTTGCAAAAAATCAAAAAGTTACTTATCAGAGTTAATTATCAGATCCACCCTACCCACTCACTTTAGTCTGATGCAGACAACAGTGCTTCCCAGATATGTAAGATTCAAAGGTATATTTTTATGTGGGAAGCTCGTGTGACACCTTCTTCAAAACAAATAAAAGTTCAAAGTCACTCAGGTGCCTTGGAAGTGCTGAGGTCACCTTAGAGTTACTTTGAAATTGGCCCACCAAATGCTGCTCAGTCTGTAGGACTTCAAAGGGAAAGGCTCTTTGTTATTCCTCCAGTCAGACTGCTTGGATTCTGGTGCTTTTTATGTAACTGGCCTGTTTTACAGGATAAACTTGAAAGGAAGTTAGAAACTGATGAGCTAGGTATGTGCCATCTGAGCCACAGAGAAGCTAAAAATGGCACCTCAAATTGGTCTCTCAAACCTCCTAGCACCATATGCACCCTGCTGTCCCTGCTGAAGATTATAGTGAAGAAAAACATCGAACTAGGAAAGAAGATAAGTGTTTTAGAAGGAAGAATACGTACAAAGAGAAAGAATTATGTAAAATATATATAAAAAATTTTGTTAAAAACCTACTAAAATAAAAGAATAAGAAGACTTAAATTCAACCAACTCTAAGACACCAGGATATGGAATTATGATTGTGGAGGACATTCAACTCATAAATATTGGTTAAAATATGTTTAGTTAGAATTAAATGAATGATTGTTTCATAAATGTATTCAATATTATGGTCATCATCATAATTATTATTGGCTAGTCCTGACTGTAAGTTGACTTCACTGCAAATCTGATCATGTAAATGAGTTTTCATACTTCTATATGTCCTTTCTGTAGTAATGAAAATAATAAAACACATGGAGGTAATAGCATTATCTCTCAATAATAGTATGGAATCAGCCCCATTATTATAATCAAATTCAATATAAGGTATCTATTTTTTTATTTTTTTAAAGATTTATTTTTGTTTATTTATGCATACAAGAACTGGACAAGAGGTGTGGGGTGCGGGGGTGGGGGGCAGTGGTGGTGAGAGGATTCACCAGAGACAGAGCAGGGAGCAGAATAGGCAGACTGACTGAAATACACTGCTGAGGGGAGCAGCGGGCGAGTCAGGAGAGGTCTGCTGCACCATGTGGGTTAGCTCCCTCGTCAGGGATCAAACTCATGCAGCAGTGGCTTGGGGATAGCTTAATAGCTCTGACTCTAACCCCTGCGCCACCAAGGAAGCTTGCTATCTGATTTTCAGATGTGAAAAAAAATTTTCATTTCATTATCATTCAGTTGGAATTGTATCAAATTATTGCATTTAATATCCATGGAATTCATGAAGAATTTTGTTATATACTTCCTGTCACACATTTAGAGTAAAAATAGCTGCATCAACGTGATTTATTCAGATATACCAATATAAGAAAAATATACTTCAAAGCATTTTAAAACTCAGTAATATGTTTTAGAAAAGTAAAAGAATTCATATAAGACAAGGTGCCATTTAGTAATTGTCTCTTTAATAAGCATCTACTTTGTGGTATGTATCATCTGTGTACAGAGTCCATGATAAATAAGAAATTCCTATATTCCTGTGCATGCTTATGCCTACTGAGAGATAAAAAAGGAAAATATTCATATTGTTTGAAAATTAACTTTTAAAAACCTTAAAACTAATTTTTATTAAAAGTGCATGCATATGTACATATATACAAAACATTAAGAGAAAATTTGCATATATTCTAGAAATTTACATATAAGAATCATTATCAAATATGTGTTGAACTTATTTTTCCAAAAAAATTTTTACCTTTGTATTTGAAGGTATAACATGGTAACTTCCCCTTTTCATAGGAAACATTCTAATGAGAAGGAATCAGCTGACTATGTTTTCTTTTCATTTTAACAATAGTTGACTCATGTTCCTTCTTGTAAATTCAAGTATGAGACAATCTTTTTTTTAAAGATTTATTTATTTACAAGAACTGGGGTACAGATCAGAGGCATGGGAGGGTGAGAGAATTCACCAGAGACAGACCAGGGAGCAGAACAGACAGACTGACTGAAATACACTGCTGAGGGAAGCAGTGGGTGAGGCAGGAGAGGTCTGCCTGGCCATGTGGGTTTCTCCCTGGCTGGTCGGGAATTGAACCTGCTTCACAAAGGCTGCGGACAGCTGCACAGCATGGCACTCAACCATGTGCGCCACTGGGGGAGGCCCATAAGACAATCTAAATTAAATTTTCATTAATTAACTAGATGTAATCAAGACACTAAGGTTTTTTGATATATCAGCATGACTTTGGATAGGCTTTGGTACTACAAATTAATAAATGACCTGTTATTCTCTGAGTACATTAAGTGAAATTAAGACTTCACTGTTAGTGTGTATGTGTGTATAAGTGAGTGAATGTAAGTAGCTAAATATCATGAAGTACTTTCCCTTTTATATGTCCATATCATTGAAATCATATAGAAGATAAATGTGCACATAGAAGGAAAAGCATTGACAGATGTATCTTTAAGACAAATCTATGAATGGTAAGATTTTTATTATTTTGGCTTTCATTCCAGGTGAAATTTACCCGAAGATGTATCACATCTGTTTCTTTCTGGTCACATACATGGCACCCCTGTGTCTTATGGTGTTAGCCTATCTGCAAATATTTCGCAAACTCTGGTGCCGACAGGTATGTAATTTCATATAATTTCCTTGTGTTTTCTGTAGGATATGCTTAAAAACAAAATTTAAGAATGAATTGAACTAACATAATATACTTAGCAAAGAATTCTATGCATCTGTTGCCTACTTTTTACTAAAATGAAATAATTCTTCTAAGATGATGATTAAGTAGTGATTTAAATAGTATCATTTAAGGGAATATATTTTATGAACTGCCTTAATGACTGTAAATGTTAAACCTCTGTGACAAATTAACTTAAGTTTTGTCCATGACTAATATTATAAATTTTACTTTCTATGAGAAATAACAAAAATTCTTTTAAAGGTTCCTTTAAGTCTAGAAACTTATATTTTTGGTGAGATTTATGTAATAAGCTTTTAACATATGTGTTAAATCTCCAACTTCAAAGATTTTATTATTTTAAATACTAGAAGAATCAGGAAAAGTTGATTTTAGAAACCATTTATAATGCTAATTTGGGAGTACTGTAATTTGTTAGATAATTTTGCTTTGTTAGTGACTGTTTATATTCATTAACTCAGTTATTCATTCATAAAATATTTATCATATAATTCCTGCATGCATGTTGGGCAAAAGCAAAAAGCTCCAGTTAACCCATTGATGAATTAATCTAGAGGAGGGACAGAGTCATGTGCAAAAGTTAAAATTGCCTTAATAAATATAAGCACAGAGGATCAAAGGAAGGCACAGTGGAAGGAGATGTAATTCAGAGCAGGTAATATTTAAGCTGAAACTTAATAAAATGAAATAAATCATAGCAAATACATGTAATATGTTATTAAGATACAAAGGTTCTTGTACTTGTAAACTGTATCTTAAAATGCCTCAGTTCTTAGAGTTACATCTCTCTCTAATGTATTGTAAAGTTTTAAACTTATCATATTTGTAGAAATCCATGCCCTAAGACTGTATTTTCAGGCATATTTTATCCAACTGATGGTATTTACTAGGGTCACTTTAATTTATCAAAAAAATCCCAGGCTTTAGTTAGGTTTTGAAGATGAATCTTAATTTGGGTCTTACTGAACCATTGTAATTCAAAGCACTTTCCAAGATCATCTTGTAAAGCTTGCATGTGAGCAGCAGTTGAATTTTTTAAGCCTATAGGCTTCATAATTTGAATTTTTTCTCTCTTCCCATATTTTCTGTAAAGAAGGCATTTCTTTTATGACCTTATAGATGTGACTACTAGCAGCTCTTACTACCTTTCTGTTCCTCGGTCTTTTTTTTCTTTTATTGAGGCAATATATGTTGACATCATTGTATTTTAAGAGTATAGGACTATCCCCTTTCAAGTATTGTTACCATAGTGCATCCACCACCCAAGCACCTATGGCCCAATATTTTCCACTAAAATAACAAATGTATATTACTGTAAAATGGGAGTGGTGATTTTCCAGATTTTGGTGACAGGTTTTTCAACATTCTCCACTTGGTCATGGAGCCAATGCCACATATTTTAGGATATTTGTTACTATTGTATTTTACTTCGTGGTAACTGGTATCCTACCAGTAGTTTCTGCTAGGTTACTTATCATTCTAAAAGTTACAATCCCAAAGTATGTGGCTTACAACAACAGTTTATCTCACTCACATTCTATGTCAGTGGTGAGGATGGGCTACGGCAGTACTCCACTCGTCCTCTCATTCCAGAACTCAATCTAAAGGAGTAGTACTTCCTGAGATAGTCAATTCTGGGGCCGAGGGAAGGCCATAAAGCCTGGAAGGAAAACATAATGTTTGTTAAAATGTCTGCTTGAACCAACTTATGTTACTTCTCCTTATTTTTCATTGGAGAGAAGTCATGTGGTTAAGCTAGACCATGAAGAAGTAAAATATTCTTCTTTCCAAAAAGTCACTAAAGGTCAAAAAGCAAGTTGGGGTGTGAATAATCAAATGATATAGGATAAAGAAGTCAGAAACATAGACTCAAAGTCTAGACTGTGTGAATTTAAATCCAGAATCCACAACTTAAAAGATATGAATTTTGTCAGCTACTTAAAGTTCTGTGTCTCTCTTTCAACTTCTTTCAAGTGGGATCATATAGTATTTCCCTCACCAAGGTGTTGTACTCTTTAGGTTACTTAATTCAAGTACCTAGAATATGGAAAGTGCCATTAAGTAATATACCTTAATAGAATATGCTGTTATTTGGCCTTTCAACTCATTCTGTTTATAATTATAAATTAATAAGCATGTGTTGAATTGGCATATGTAACTACTCTCCTAAATATATTTTTCCTTAGCACTTTTAAAAAACTTTATACTTTTTTTTTCTGTCCTCTCTACTAAATGAAGATTAGCCTCCACTTTCTGCTTCTCCAGTTAGTACTTAGTTTGCACATTTTATTTGCTCAATTCGTAATCTGTAAGAAGGAAGTGAATCAAAAAATAGGAGGAAGTGTAGATAGAAGAAGACATAGAGGAATCCATTGTCCAATTACTCAGAAAAAAATTCATGTGAAAATTGGAATTTGAAGAAATTCTTGAACATGAGAAAGCTTTTAATGAGCATGTAGGAATATAGATATTTTAGAGTGAGTTTGATATTTCGACTAGAAATGTTTAATGTTAAGAACATTTCATAGTTCCACATTTTTCCTGGTACTGACCGGTAAGAAAAATACTATATGTATCACATGTTTATATTCAGTTATTCATTGATCTACACATTGACATAACTTTTCAACTTCTTGGTGATACCTAAATCTTGTTCATCTTTGTAACCAAAATATTTAACATATTACCTTATGAAAAGAAAATATTAGAAAAATGTTTAATGTACATTTTGATAACTACGAAATCCCAATTTACTTCTCCATTATTTTAGCTTATAGTTCTCCATTTCTCAAACTTTAAAATAAGTTCAAAATTATAATACAGGTATAGAAACAACCACATGGTGGTTTTATTTGTCAAGAATTGTTCTGTTTAGTATAAGCCATATCATTTAGAATATTTTCAGTAAAATTCCTGGGCTGTGAAACTGAAAACATTTTCAAAACAGATTGGAATGGAAAAAGGCAAATTCAGCTGAGTTCACTTTAGCAGCCACAATAAAGTAAATTAACCCCAAATGGGTGATTATGTAAAATTCTGCTTGAGCAACTCTCAATTTCCAACTGTTAATGTCTATAAACAGTGTTCTAAGGCATTATATGTGCCATAGGCTACGTCAAGTGAACCATCAAATAAAGGGTCTGTCCAATTTGCTTAAAATTACAAAGATGCATGGAATCTGTTATGTGGAATTCGTAAGTGTAAGATTATTAGTGAACAATGTGTATGTCCTTGTCTGACTTTCTTGAGAACTTTAAGCCTTATTAAAATAATTATCTGATGATTTTCTATAATCAGATTTAAATTTCTCCTTTAACAGTGTGACTCATAGAACCCACTGACTTCAGAAATTCTACAGATTCTTCTCTAAAACTCTTCTTTTTTAAAGAATCATTTAATCTTAGTTTATATGTACATCTCAGCACTCTTTCAGGTCAAGCCTTAGCATAATTCAGCAATTCCATCTTAACCATCATGTGACCTAAATATTTCATTCCATAAATATTTATTAACACCTACTGTGTGCCTAGTACTATGTGAGGAACTGGGCATAAACTGTAATAGATATTTGAGTTTGGAAGTAAATTTCAACTTCTCAAAGACTATAACTTTGACTTTTCCTGTCCTAACTTTTATCACAGTGTCTTCTACTGTCCTTTATTCTTCAGATTTACTTATTAGGTGATAAAAAGTCAATCTACTATGAGGAAATAAATGGCAAATTGAAATTGCAAAGGCAGTAATGTAAATTCAGAAATAGAAATAAAGAGGACCATTAAAAGTAAACATGTAGGTAGATATAATAGAGAACATTTTTGTAATTCTTTTCTTCTCTTATTTAACTTGAAAAAACAGCATAAAGCTATACTATATAACTGAAATTTTCTTATATTGTATAAAGATGTAGTTTAAATTAAGGAGAAGAGAATGAAGCTATATAGGAACAAAGACTGTGTATCTTATTGAAATTAAGTTGGCATCAATCCTAACAGGTTATTTAAGTTGTTAATTACAATACTTAGAGAAATCACACAAAAATATTTTTTTAAAAATATAGTGAAAGAAATCACAGAGAATTATAATAGTATACTAGAAATATTATTGAACTCAAAATAAAGGGGAAATGGAGGCATGAAAGAACAAAATAGACATAATACATATAGAAAATGAACAACAAAGTGGGAAATAAGATTTATATATTCTCAAAATTAAATTAAATATAAATGAATGATTGGTAGAATCGATGAAACAAAAATGATCCAACTCTGTGTTTTCTGGAAAAAATACATCCCATATCCAAAGACACAACTAGGTTAAATGTAAAATAACAGAAAAAGATACACCAAGGAAATAGTAAGCAAAAGAAAGTTGAGAAACTATGCTAACATTAGACAAAAAAAGATTTTAACAAAAAGTGCTATACAGACTGAGGGTTATATCATAATAAGTCAATCAATAAAGAAGATATAAAAAGTATGAATTTATAGATACTTAGCAACAGAAACACAATACATGAAGCAAAATCCAACACAATTTTATGAAAAAGTAGGCACTTGAACAATACTAGTTGTAAACATCAATATTCCTCTTTCAAAAATAGATAGAAAAACTCAACAGACAAGAAATAGATGAACAAAACTATCAACCAATTAGACTTAAAAGATATCAGAGAACATTCCATCAAAAAACAAAGTACACATTCATTCTGCGTGCATATGAACTAAGTATTCTCCATACTGGATCATATGAGAGGCTATAAAGCAAGACTTAAAAGCTTTTAAATGATTGAAATAATAAAAAAGTACATTATATTACCATAATAGGATCATTTTGGAAATTATAGAAAGAAACTTGGGAAATTCACGTATGTATGGAAATTACACATTACACTTATTTTTTAATTTATGCTTACAAGAACTGGGTGTGGGCCAGAGGTTTGGGGGGTGGGAGGATTTACCAGAGAATAGGGAGCATAGCAGGCAGATCTTCTGAAATACACTGCTGGAGCATGCAACTGGTGAGACAGGAGAGGTCTGTTGCACCACGTGGGTTGCTCCCTGGCTGGCGGGGATTGAACTCATGCTTCAGTGGCTGCCAATAACTTGATAGCACTGTCTTTAACCCCTGCGCCACCAGAGAGGCCCAAACATTACACTCTTAAATAACAAGTAGGTAAAAGAAGAAATTACAAGAGAAATTAGAAAATAGTTTGAGGTTAACTAAAATAAAAATACAACAGACTAAAAATTTTGGAATGCTTGGAGAGAAATTGATAGCTGAACACCTAAGTTCAAAAAGAAGAAAGATCTCAAATTGATAACATGGCACTCTGCCTTAAGAAAGTATAACAGAATATTAAAAACCAAAGCAAATAATAGAAAGACTATTAAAGATTACAGTGTAAATAATGAAGTATAAAAAAACAGAAAAAAGTCAAGAAGTGAAAGTTAGTTCTTTGAAAAGATCAGAGTGAATGATAAACCTTTGTGTAAATTGTTCAGGAATAAATGGAAGTGTCCGGTAACTTAAATCTCAACTAAAAGAGGAAAACCAGTATCAACATTACAGAAATGAAGAATAAGGGAATTGGTATGAACAACTGCACACCTACACACTAGAAAAACAAGCTATTAAAACTCACTAAAGGTGTGCTCGCTTCGGCAGCACATATACTAAAACTCACTAAAGGAGAATTAGAATGTCTAAAGAGACCTATTATAGGTAAAGAGACAAAGCAATATAGAAACCACCCAGAAAGAAAAGTTCCTTATAATATTTTGTTTGATCCTTGTTAATGTCTACTTAATCAAATATAAAATGGAATTTCCAACAATCTACTTATAGGAAAGCATTAATGATTATTCAAGATTATGCATAGATCCTAGTACTCAGTTAATATGGGTGATTTCTGTTAATATTATGCTTTCTTTAGATGACTATTAATGGGATATTTGTATGTCTCAAGATGAGTGCAGGACTAAGCTTTATTTATTTAGATAATCATATAAAAGGGGACATTATCACTGCTTTTTTTTTAATTATCACTGATAGATTTCAGGGATCATAACCATGCTCCTCTCGGTGGCTCCTCCTTATGTGACTCTGATGGCTTCTGATGGTTGCAAAGTCATCAGATGTAGGATATTGATTATGCAAGATATTGATTCTTTCCTTCAGGGGATCACTCACTAATAGAATTACTAAAATTTAAACGACCTCTCAGTGATCATTAGGAAACAGATCAAAGTCTGCAAAATGGCAGACTTTGGGTTACTTATGCTAGAATTCTACTGGAATTTTCCATCATTCATTGGAGCTTCTCAATTATATTAGAAATGACTAAAAAGAGACTCATAGAGGAGGAAGGATTCTCAGATCCTGTTTCTCTCACCACATGGATTAGAAGATTGAACAGAACCATAAGTCCATGAAAATATCTGTCTATAGGACATGAGAGAAAAGAGTTCAAAGGGAAACGATTTATCTTTTTTTTTTTAATTTAAAGACAGGTTTTAATTAACTTCATTTGATTCTTTCTGAGGAAAAAAAATAGTTATAGTCAAAAGGAGCATCATATTAATTTGTATGGATCACAGTAAAATTCTGTTTCCAAATTACAGATTGTCTAATAGACCCTGGTCTTGTGATGTATAAAATAACAGAATCCATCCAACATCCATTCTGAGAGACCATAGGGACACATTGGTCTGTGCTGGCTTCCAGCACAGAGATAAAAGTTAACAGCTGAATAATCTTAATATGACTGAGCCGGCCTTATGGTGTGCTTGTTGGCACATTTTTCTCTTTAAAAAATTACACATGCTGAATTTTATTGTTTTGCTCACTAAACCCTATCAATCTTCATGAGCTTATAATTAAGAAAACATTATACTTGGAGGGACTCCTGCTACTATCAAATAACTTTGAAAAAAAATGGAAAAGTACAAGTTGTGTAACTGCTACAAATTCCAGCTATTGAAATGTTAATGTAAGACCACCAGGGATTCTCTATGCTTTTGTATGCATTTTCTTTTAATTTATTTTGTGTGTTTGTGTGAATGCATTTTAAAGGACTAAACCATAAAATTAATTTTAAGCAATTTTATAACAACAATAGTGAGCAACAGAAAAATTCTATTTTTTATTCCTTTCATCAAAGGTTTTGCATTGTTCAAACCTGAGAAACAGAAAACGAAACATAAAACAATACATGGTTAAATTCTATCTTTCTATCTGGCAGCAGAGGGCAGTATTGATGCATGAAAAAAGCCATACAGATTACTTTTGCAATTACCTGTTAGGATTTCCTGCTCTTGAACCTCAGGAATTTGAATTGAAACAGAATTCCTAGTAGAGTAATACGGTTGACATCCCTTTACTTTTCTTCTTTCTCAGTCTTTATTTCTATTTTTTTAATTAAGTTTTTTTTTCCCCCCCCTTTGAGCAGTTTTAGGTTCACAGCAAAACTGAGCAGAAGATAAAGAGACTTCATTTGTTACAATTGATGAGCCAGCATTGACACATGGCAATCACCCAACTCCATAGTTTACCGTATGGGCCACTCTTTAATGTTGTAAGGTCCATGGATTTGAAGAATGCATGCAGATACATTGTATAATATATGATGACGTGCAACCACCATTATGGTAGCATTCAGAGTATTTTCAGTACTCTAAAGATCCTCTGCTCTGTCAGTTCACCCACCTCTCCCCTTACTACTAGCAATCACTGATCTTGTTAATGTCTTCATAATTTTACCTTTTCCAGGATGTCATTAAATTCAGGATCACATAGTAGGCAGCCTTTTCAGATTTGCTTCTTTGAACACTCAGTACATGCATTTAAGGGTCCTCTATGATTTTTCATGCATTGATGATTTATTTCTTTTTGTCACCGAATGATATTCCATTGTCTGCATATATAACTATTTTTATTAAAAGGTGTATTTTCCATATACAACTTTCTTTAGCACTTGACAAAATGATGTTTCAACACTTTTTCCACCTAAATTCCTATTCAGCAAGAACATATTCAACTCAGGGACATTCTAGGGAAACAGATCAAACCTCCCAGACCACAGTTGTCTGGGACACTCTCCTTGCTGTGTCTTCTATTAATTCTCCAAAGTGGAACTTTCCTAAATCAAATAGCTATAAAGGTTCTCTGCTCTTTTCAGATCCCTGGAACATCATCTGTAGTTCAGAGAAAATGGAAGCCCCTCCAACCTATTACACAGCCTCGAGGGCCAGGACAGCAGACCAAGTCCAGAATTAGTGCTGTGGCTGCTGAAATAAAGCAGATCAGAGCCAGACGGAAAACAGCCCGGATGCTGATGGTTGTGCTTTTGGTGTTTGCAATTTGCTATCTGCCAATTAGCATCCTCAATGTGCTAAAGAGGTAAAGTGCATCTGTTATTTGAAAATCAAGCAACCTGCCATTTCTTGGTTCTTAATTAAGAACTGTTTTTAAGCCAGAGAAAAATCTAAACTCAGGGTAAATAGTTTGTCAGGCCAGATAACTCAGGGTATTGTTGTTACCGACAGGTAAGGCAAACAGCTTTTTGTTGTTGTTGTTTTCAGAATGCTCAGACTCCAAATGCTCTTGTTCTTGCACATTCTTTTTTGAATTGCAGACATGAAACAGATGCTCCCCTGATCTTCTTCAATCTCATTGTTGAGTCTTAGATGCAGAAAAGTTCTAATATAGGGTGGTGGGAGAGAGAGTGTCATTTACAGCTTGGAGTACTTTTTTGATCAGAACAAATGGGTTTTCCAAAACTTTGTTCTCAAAGGTAGAAGGAATTGTATCAGAATTCTTTGGAAAGGATTAAAAAGAGATAAAAATATTTTGTTAGCATTCTGATTGTACATGAAAGTGCATTTGTAAGCACGCACACACACACAAATGAAATCATAGTACATACTGTTTTGAATGTTTAAACAGAAAGAAAGAAAATTCATTTCCTGAAGTCTTTGAGTCGAACTCAAGGTGAATATTTGTACAAATCAGCACAAAACATTTCGGTAAGAAAAGTATGTTGTCATGCTGCAGACACACTACTAAGTTGAAACAACTGAACAACATAAACCACCAATGCAAGGGCAGCGGTGTATGTGAACTTCACAGCCAGCCAACTTTATCAGGAGTTATCATAACTGTTGCATATAGACTGCCCCCAAGGCAATACTAATTCTGTTTATAATAGGCTTCGAACTTAAACCATGATGGCTGCCCTCACTCTTCCCTGTTTCAGAGTCCATATCATATTCCTCACAGCTGGGGACTCTAGAGAGAGATGGCTTTGGCCAGAGTCACACAGATGAAAGGTGGTATAACCAGCTGCAAAGATTTCTCATTCTCTCTGGCCCTTGTTTTTGATTGCTTAATGACTTTCTTAATGGAGAAAAAAATGGAAAATGGACTTTTGTCCAGGAATATTATTTACTATAGACACAGCCTTTAAGGAAAAGACTTTCGGCAACTGGGGTCCTTGAGACATACCGGTTTTCAAGAAAATGAACTACTTTGTCCTCTACACTTTTTTCAGTTTCCCTCTTCTTTGTCTTGCCCGCAGAAATCCCATACACGTTTTTTTTGTTTTTTTTTTCTGTTGTTTTGCTAGTTAGTGTTTACTTCTCTTAGAGACTTACTAAGTATAAACATGCTACATACGATACTAGATGAGTTTTCTTTTGCTATTACTTTTATGTCAGTGTAAATTTAAAGAAAATAGAATTTGCTAATCTCTGATTTATTCCTTTGCACTAATTTGTGCACATTAGTGCTTGTGCCTTCCCTTTAGTTATTTCCAAATAGCTACGTATCCAGCATATTGCTTTTATTTTTCTGACTTAAGTACCTGTTTTTCTAAGGAAAATAAATTGCTTTCTAAGGGAAAAGTCCCAGTTGAATTTAAAGTAGTCTCAATTTTTTTGAGCATTCTGCTCTTTTCTACAGAGTAAAAAAATAATCCAGAACCTTTTTTTTTCTTTTACCACACTTTTTTTCAGAAATTTATCTTTTTTTGGGGGGGGGGCTTTACATTATACCCATTTTTTCTTTCTATTACAAATAAATTCATAAATTCTTTTCCTTGAAAAAATTTTCCCCTAACTTGTCAAAACCAACTTCTTTAAAGCAGTTCTCATTTATCTAGGATTTCAAAGACATATTTTGTTAGAGGGTCATAACATATTAATTTTGTTTGTTCATGTTATTTTACCTCATATTCTATTTTTGTAAAACTTCAGCATGCCATAGACACTACTTCATTCCAGACATGCATTTCTATCACAGGCATAAATGACACAATCAACAATGGGCAGGGAGTGAGTTATTGTCAACCTGTGAATTAACTAGGTAGTTGGCTATTGAATGGAATCTGATAAATGGAATATTTCAAAGTATAAAATATAGAAGAAATCTTAAAGTGACTTCTCAGGATATTGCAATGAAATATTTTTTAAGTTTAAAGTAATAAATTTAAAAATTTAAACATGAATTTTAATTGCCATATTTCTCCCTACTGAAAACTAGTTCTCTGGTTATAAAAAGTTCTAGAAGCCAAATCTCCCCCAAGGCTTAGAAGGCTGGAGTTGAAGAAATGTAATATTATGCACAAATGAAAGGAGGAAGAAATACCTACAGACTGAAATTTACTAGTGCCTTTGAGTAATACACATAATGGAATATTAACATATTACTCAATTATATTTGGGAAAAAAGTGAAAAAGGGTTGATAGGTATATATTCCACTTCTTTCGTCTTACCAGCGAAAAAATATTATTGCATTTGTCGTTTACCAGAGAGAGTGGCTATCTACGACCTGATTTGGTTTTGATTTACTAATTGTGCCATGGAGGTTGCATTCAGATCCTGAAGCTATTCTAAACCTATCAGTGGCCATTGCCTGCAACAGAGGATAATAGAAGTCAGGCAGTTTCTGTCAAAGACTGTATTCACCCTTGAATTTAATTATTTAAAAGGAACTTTCCAGGATCACACTGGATTTCCTGTTATTGTTTTCCTACAGAGTATTTGGGATGTTTACCCACACAGAAGACAGAGAGACTGTCTATGCCTGGTTCACATTTTCTCACTGGCTTGTATATGCCAACAGTGCTGCGAACCCAATTATTTATAATTTTCTCAGTGGTGAGTTTTCAACTGTTTCTTGTATATAAACCACAGTTCTAACCAAGGGCGAAGGATCAATGGCCAGAAGATTTCCAACATTTTGAATTGCACGAAGAGCTCAGTTGCTGGACAATGAGAATTTTGACCTGCTCTCGTTTGTGTTTTGAGTTTTTCCTCTCCGAGGGGGAATTCATCAGAGAAAATAAGTGATTATTTTACACTAAAATTTATAAAATAATCTTGAAAGAGGGGAAAGTGAAAATTCTGAGAATTGAATGACACAGAATTTGGCTTATTTTATGTTGAATTTATTTTATAAAAATGTAAAATAATTTTATGTGAAAATGAAACAATGTTGCTTTATTATTTAATTTGCCAACATTTATGGCCATATTGAGAATGAATGGGAACTTTTCCACTCTTAGGCCTATTTTTGTATTTACATTTCTCTGTAAGATTTCTTGGATTTATATCAAGATTTCTCACTGAACACAGAAATGATTACTTAATAAAAAAAGTTAAATGGCACACACATTTTCTAACTGAATTAATCTATTAATATTTATGGAATCAAAGTATTCATAAAAGTCATTTAATATTGTTTTATTTACAAACATTTTTTGCCTGATGTGGGCTTTAGAATTATGTTTTAATTAACTACATCTTTACATTGTATTCTTCTCCAACAGACTGGTTATTTCTTTTTCATTCTACTCCAAAAACATGGTAATTTTATATGGAAGTATAAGCAATTCAGTTTATTGAATACATAATAAAGTATGTGCATTTTTCAGTTTTATCTTTGTCCTTCTGGTTGGATAGGTTATTTTTAAAAACAACCAATTATATTTAATTTTTTTTTCAAGCATGGCATGTACCCAAATATTTGCACCTGCTTCCTTTCACCTTTCAGAGAATCAGGTGGTGTATATGTAAACTTTGTCTTGTATTCACTTGTTTTTTTACATGTCATCCCGTGACACAGGAGTAATAGCCATAGTTTTATTATATGACATAGGTCATTTTAAAATGTTTAAGTATTTGTGGGCAACCCTCTACTGATGATCACTTTTATTATGGTTACTTAGTTAAAATAACCTCACATTCACAAATATAGGAGCTATAACACTAAAGGAATGAGACCAAACCCAACATCACAGATGAAAAGCAGTCTCATTTTATGGAAACACCTCATTGTTTCAGAAGTCTACCTAGCATCCAGTAATGCAATTTCCTTTTCTTATTTTACCAATCTTTGCAAAATATCACACCTCTTTGTTAGTTTGGCTCAACGTAGCAGCTCAGTTGTACCCTGTCCATGATTTTTAAAAATATATTTATGCATAATTCTTTTTCCTTTCCTTCTCCGTGGTTTGCCAGGAAAATTTCGAGAGGAATTTAAAGCTGCATTTTCTTGCTGTTGCCTTGGAGTTCACCATCGCCAGGAGGATAGGCTCACAAGGGGAAGAACGAGCACAGAGAGTCGGAAGTCTCTGACCACCCAGATCAGCAACTTTGATAATATTTCAAAACTCTCTGAGCAAGTTGTGCTCACCAGCATAAGCACACTCCCCGCAGCCAATGGAGCAGGACCACTTCAAAACTGGTAGAATATTTATTCATATGACAAGGATACTTAAGTAAAACTATTCTTTTTTTAAAAATCTCTGTATACAGAAATTTTACTATCGTAATGATCTGAAATCTAAAACATTTTGTGGATTTTTTTTAAATCAATTGCTCTTTGGAAATAAAAAAAACGTCAGCTTAAAATAATTTCTCAATTTTTGATTTAAACATGTTAGAAATTTAAACTTTAACTGAGTTTACCTCAGTTTATTTCATTTTAGTTTCATGTAATATGATTTATATCAATTAAATGTTTGAACATTCCCAATACTAATTGTTATTTTAATCAATATTCAAATTGATTGCTAAAATTACCAAAAGTTATCCAATGATTTTATCCTTTAGACTACAAAAAGAAGTAGCAGTTACTAACTCTGAATTAACAATAGACAAGTTAGCTGATCTTATGGCTTAAAAAAATCACAGAAGATTGTCATTATGACATGACAGCTTAGATAATATTTATATACAAAATAGCATATTAATAAATACTTCAAAAGCTATCTCTCAAGACCATATAGAATAAATACCATTAAACTTTATTTCCCATTAATGTTATCACTCATTTACACAGTTTTCTCAGATTTGTAGCTTTACCTTCACTAATATTTCTCATCTCAACCTATGGCCAGTAATAATCTATAAAAAATAAAACTTTTGGAGTAACCATGAATATATAATTTCCATCTATAAAGACTTCCACGTTTAAGAATATGATAAAATCATATTATTAAATTTTTCTAGCCAATGAAAAATGTGCAGTCGGCCTTGCTGGATTAATCTAAAAATGCAATTTACAAAGAAAAGGAATGATGAATATTAAATCACATCTCTGTCTCATATAAGGGAGTTTAATACCATAGATATTTGATGGTAAATATATTTGCATTTATTTCGATTTCATACTCATTTATGGTATAGCAGAAAGGGCCCGCTGTGCTACGTGCTAGGAAATGACGTAGCTGTAAACGTAAAAGTGCCTTTAAAAGAGCGCTCTCTAGTGAGAGAGACTTGTTGGCAGCATCTGCAGGGCGGCTCGTCCTCTGTGGGACGGAATCCTGGACACGGGCATGCAGTTATACAACTGACGGCGGTGTTCATCACCAGGACATTAGCAGTAAGGTTGCACTTTTTTTATTACTATTTAATTACGGTGATGCTATCCGTTTCCGCGAATTCCACCCATGGCTGCAGCAAAGAGCCAGGTGGTTAGAATGGACGAGCTTGCTCTAAACTCACACACAAATGCGTAGGAGTATTTTTTTATAAACATAAGATCTGGGGTAAAAAAGACTGAATATTTCATATTTGTACCTTTACAGAATTCTATTCTTATGATTCAAATACTTTGAAATCAAATTACAAGTAAAATATTCAAGAAATGGCGTTCTTACTATGGTAGCAGGTGTTCTTATTTTATTGAACTAATGATGAAAACAATATTTGAGATTTTTCACAGCAGATAATGGTTCTCTTGTTGTTTATTTTTACTTTTTCCCTACTCATCATTTCAGAAAAAGTCATACAACTAAATTATCCACAAGTTGTTTTCATATCGTAGCATTTGGGATTACTGGTACTTTTTACTACTCAAAGCAAAAATTTAAATTTATCTTGTAAGAGATTTCTTGGCATTATATTGCTATTATCAGAACAACATTGATGCGAGAGAGAGAGAGAGAGAGAGAGAGAGAGAGAGAGAGACTGCAGTTGTATGCTTGTGTCAAGGACGGTGTTGAAGTTAGAATTTCTTGGCTGGAAATCAGTGATTCTCAAATGGTGGTTTCTGAACCATCAGCATCACCTGGGAACATATTAGTCATGCAAATTTCCACCCTACATCTGGTTCCACCCACTATGAGCCAGAAACTGAAGGGATAGTGTTTTAAATACCTGTGAGTTATCAAGCTGTACAGGTGATACTGAAGCACCTTAAAATTTGAGAACCACTGCGCCAAATACCACCTGGCACATGTTTATTAGCCCTTGTGAAATAAAGTATTTTAATGCACAGGTATCTGCAACAGGGGCCGTCTTCATCACTACTGTCAACCTGGTTGGAGGTTTGAAAGAAGAAGCCAATGTTGACTGTCACTAAGTGAAATAATGGTTTATGAAACAATTGCCACTGTGTTACGAGTATAGTGTGAAAGAAGACTGGTTCTTCATAAAGCTTCATAACACTCGTGTGCTTTTTGGCTACCTGGATGGCTTGAGTATCTAAATGAAACTTTCAAATCTCCAGCTATATTTATACTTATCGAAATCGAAGTTGTGTGGAGTCAGACAGTTTTAAGAATGATCATTACCTGGAAGAAAAACAAAAACATACAAGTACAATAACTGTGGAATGGAATAACAGAGCATGTACATTGTTTTCATCCAGTTAATGTAGGAAACCTTCTAAGGACTCTGGATTTTGTATGGTTACATAAACAGAACAGATGGTAAACAAGCAGATATTCTCAGTCCTGCAATCTAATGGAACAAAGGGTCAACTACTTACCTCATTATGTGCTAATAACACAAATGAGAAGAATCCTTATGGAAAGAATGTTTTGCAACTTTTATGCTATACAGTATGTATGTATGGGTTTTTTTTTTTTTGCTATATTTCAAGACAATGTAAATGCTATCGAACTTTTGTTACCAATAAGGATGAGATGCTTTTATCTAATACAGAGTCCATTTGAACTTCCTTATTTCTCAATTTTTACAAACCCATGAAAACTTTGATATTTGAATTCATTCATTCTTGGCAAAATGTGATTCCCAGTTTCTGAGAAAAATTGACTTCTAAATTTTTCCTAGACTTGGAGTGTTTCTTGGATATTAAATAACTATTACAAATCATTGATAAGTTATTGCAAATATATTAGGCACAATGATAGTGAACTTCACTCCCAGTGCTCATTGTTTAATGAAGATAACAGATAAATATACTAATAAAATATAGTATGAATAGACATAAACCTGAAATGTTAGAATGACAAAACCCAAAAATGCTTATGCAAATTATGAGGGGGTTCTCATTAATTTAGTGTGGTAGGATGTTTTACACTTGATTTATATCAGGTGTGAAATCTGCATTTCAAAAAATTCAGAGACATTTTCAATTCCAGTTAATTTTCAACTTTTTTACTTCCTAAAAGTTAGAAGTAAAAAAAAGGGAATTCCATTAAGTAATATGTGATTAGTTTTCAAATGGCATGAAGCAAAATAATAGATTTTTTTAGAGACAATATATATACAGAGACAATGTTGTTAAAGTCTATCAAATCTCCAGTTACGTACGAGAGTAAATGACAAGAAAAGGCATGGAAAACACTCTTGTCTCCCCAAATTTAATGGAGATTATTTTCTAGAGAACTACTGTTACTAAAGAGGAGGCAAAAGACCCTCCCACTTGCCACGTATTTGCATTATCTCAATTTTTCTTTGTAAGCGTTGAAGTTGGAATGTCTTTTAAGTTTTTCATGAAATGTTTCTATAATTATTGTACCCCATGTGTGTAACCTCCTGTCAATTGTTTAATGATTATCTTAAACATTTAAAGTTCTTTACATCTGATTTACAATGCTTTCATGAAGTTTATCAAATCTAATGTGATTGCACAACAGCTACTGTGAAGGATGCTTGTTATATAATTTTTAAGTAAAAACCATACTGAGAATTCTATAATCGCATTCACACTGCCCTATCTATTGTATGAAAAATTTTGTTGTTGATTAGATACGTTGGTTATTCACTCATAACTAGTGTCAACTCTTTGCAGTTAAGAATTGAATTAAACCCTCTGGTGCAGTACTCAATGACCAAAATATTTTTCTCAATAAGTTTATATAACCAGGGATAATTATGATATAAAAGGTTTTTAATGTTGTTTTAAAGAGCAAGTACTATAATATAGTTAGGATTAATGCATAAATATTTCATAAAATATGTACAATCACATAGTATTAAATTTTGGAGATTTTATCTGAGTCAAGACACTTAATCTTGCTTTGACTTAGAATGATAACCTTGTGATTTTTAATTTATTAGTATACTAGGAAGTATAGCATTTATATAATTTTAACATGAAGTGATTTTGTTCTTGGTCATTATATATAAAACTTAAAAGCTATTTTAAATTCAGTGATAAATTTTATTTTTTTAGGTTCTACAAATGTTTACTCAATAATAAATTTTAAATGTATGTTTTCTACATTTCATTTACCTAAATGATTCTGATAAATTACAGAATCAACTATCAAGAACTTTAAGAATCAATTTTTATGCAGCACTGTTTATTCTAACATATCAAAAGTAGAGTAAAAGTTTCTGGACAAGGTAAATATTTGACTCTTACGGAAATGTGATTTGCGTAAGGGGTAGTTTCAGAAGACAAAGTGAAATTCTCAGAGTGCAATCCCAGGAAAGATTAGCTGTTTCTGTGGTGAGGTGTTTTGCGTTGATTAATTGATTAGCACAAGCTGGCTACTTGGCCACTTCTCAGTCAGACCTGAAGGCAGGTCACCCATCTTCCCTTTTATCAGTGGCTGTGAATGGGAAGTAGGCAACAGAGGAAAAGTTTCTTGAAGCGTGTTTTTGGTGTTGTCCTCCTTACAGTGCTCAGTGCTCAGTGTTTTCTCTCTCTACCTGTATTCCTTATTCGTAGTTCTACTCTCATGACAAGCAGAAGCCAGCTCACCCCACCACCCTCCTGCTCCCACAGAGTTCCACTCACTTTCCTTCAGTCAAATCCCAGCAAATAGGGTGACTCATTGCCTCAGATTCATGTTATCTTCTGAGGAGAATGAATGGCAGGTGGCAAATTTGAGAGTAAATGAAGCAGAGCCCAAGGAAAAAGAAAAATAATTTACATTTTTACATCCCCAAAATAATTTTGTTTCTTGCAGAATATCTGTGTTTATGGTTATCTTCTGATCATCTCTGTCAGTTCCCTTCCCAATCCCTAGCTAAGCTTATTGCCTCAACTTGGAAAGGATCCCAAAATTGAGAATCTTAGGTCAAGGCCAGGCCAGGTCACTAGGAGAGGCACTGCTTATGCCACCTTTGTAAACAAATAATCTATTACTTTTCATAGGCCGCAGCCATATTTAATAGCAGAAAGATAAATCCATTTAAAAAAAAAAGCTATTATGTAATCAATTTCTAATTAATTTCACAATGTTTGAATTTAATTCCCAAAGAGAAAATGGTGCAAACAATGTTTTTGGGACTGAGAAATACTTAACAGTTCACAGCAACTTGAAGCTTAATTTGTTGCAGATGTGATAACTAGAACATCTCCAGAAAGAAGTAATATTCTCTTTTACAGGGGTGTAGACATAAAAGTTCTCCTTATGTGGTTCAGAGATATAAAGTGGAGAAGTGTCTTGTAAAGTTGCATCTAAATCATGCAGGCTATCAATTATGAAGTGAGAAAAATCATCATTCCAGAGTATTAACAACAAACATATCTATCAATTAAACAGCTTGAGGATATTCCACAATTTATTTTGTACCTCAGACATTTAGATTTCCTTTCATTTAGTTTACTCTTTTTAAAAGCTATCTTTTAGTTTGGTAGCTATTTTTCTTCATTATTTTTTCAAATATCCAGGTTTAATATTTCTACTATTTTAGACATCCTTTTGCCTAAGGTCATGCTTTTGCTTTTATGTATATATATATATGAGCATTCACAAGGTTGCAGCAATGTGGTATAAATGAAAAGAAGGCTGTAAAATGCCTATCTCCCTCCAAAATTTCATGCCAATAGTCATTAGGAATCTAAGGTTCTTGATTCCAGGGAGTTTCTCTATATTTTTTAGTGCTATCTCCCTATTCCTAATATAGTACCTGTCACATAGAAGTCACTTAATAAATGTCTTAAATTAATGAATTAATAATCCATAGAAATACCCCAACTCACCCTTTTGTTCTGTTTTCTTCCAGTTCTTTCCATGCTCCTTTTGGAACTCCCTTCCCACTGTGAACAAAACACCCTATATCCTCAGAGTCTACACAATGCATAACTTTTTTTAACCAAAGTAAACCATCTGTTGAGAATGCCAATTCTCATTATCTGAATACCTTCAAACTGAGAGAGAGCAGCAGCTTCTCATCAATTGCAGGCCAGATGACTACTCTTATCCTCAGTAAAACCCACCCTTCAGCCCCATGGGTGATTATGGTCACTGACCTCCCCCTCAGTCTTTTGGTCTTGGCGCCCCTTACTCATATACACTTACATGTGACTTAAGGTCATAAGCGCAAGTCCTGGGTCCATGTGAATAATGCACCAAAAATCTGTTTCATTCTTCTTGGTCTTGTGGAAAAAACTCATTTCTGATGTTCTTCATCAAACCACTCTCATAGATTATACCTTATTTTGTTTATTTCCTTAAATCCTGTGACAATTTATCTGCTACTGAAATGCCAAGTCTGGTCTGACTTGTCCATCTTTCATCTCACATTTATGTTCCCACAGCGACCTCCCTGCCTCCTTAACCCCAAAAGAGCAACAGGAATCTTTACCCTTTCACTCATCTTTACCCTTTATCTCATCTTATCAGGACCATCCTGGACTTATCTCTGTTCCCATCTGCATCTGGTACAACACAATTAATAGTAGATATTACGTTCTTCAAAACATCTATTTTTGTCCTCATGAAGATCATGACCATTTTCATACAATGGAGAGTGTGCTGTCCTGTAGCACTGAAAATAAATGATTATAACAGCACCTAGAAGTCTGATTGAGTTAGATTTCCAGGCCAGCAGAGCCATTCACTTCTATTTGGGACACAATCCAGAGACCCCTCCAGGTGGAAAGTGTGCTGTGGCATTAGTTATATTTCTTGCTTATTTCTATTATCATGAGCCCATTATTTTTTTCTCCTGCGTCAGCAGCAGGTCTGGAAATAATTTCAATATTTACAAATTCTCTTTTAGACCATATAAATTTGCTTATTTGATTTTGCAAATCTTCTACAACTCTTCTTATTGCCCAGTCTTATCTTTTAATTGTGTGTTTGGGGCAGGAGTAGGTCATCTCATTTTTATCTTGACTAGCTATTAATATCCTTATTTACTCATCTTTTTTAAATAGCACATTACTTCAAATGAATCTGCATTTAGGATTCTTTTACTTCATAAATCCTGTTCTTTCTGTTGAGAAATGTTGTAATAGAACTTATCAAACTCGTATCATGAAAACCAGCAGACCTCCATTCATTTGATTATAAAACTAATCACATTGAAGTTTTCCTATTCTAAGAGAAAGAATTTCCATCTGCTCTCTCTAATGTTTTGGCATTTAAGAATTGATTTAATTAAAATATTTTTATTAGAAAACTATAGCTTTCCCTTTACAAAGTACCTGACCTCCCTTGTGTCTGCAACTAATTCTCAAGGTATACTTTCCTCATGTGAAAATTTAGTCTAGCCCTTTAGGATATATTATTGTAAGAAGGCATCTATAAATTGTTTTTTTTTTGTTGTTGTTGTTGTTGTTCTTGTTTTACCAATAGAATCTGAATATTAAATTTCCAATATTTGATCCCATGTTTGCTGTATACCTGATGCTGAAAGTGACCATCTCCTCCTTATCTTATTTTTTTTTAAGATTTATTTATACAAGTACCAGGTACAGTCAGAAGTGCAGGAGGGCGAGATAATTCACCAGAGTCAGAGAGCAGAGCAGGCAGACTGAGGAGGTACACTGCCTAGGGGAGCAGCTGGCGGCAGAAGAGGTCTGCGCGCCATTTGGGACCCTCACCCG